AGTTTAGGCTTTCCTTGCTCTCCATGCTTGTTCTTCCCTCTGCCCATCCTGTCCAGCTTTCCCTATCCTCCTGGCACATGGTTAGCAGCCCATCCCTGACAAGTCACCAGGGAGCCCAAAGATTTCAGAGACCCACTGACTATCCAGTTGAATTTCTCAATCGCCTCAAGATGGTGCTTCAGCACTATACTTAGCTGGACCCAGAGTCAAAGGAAAGCAACATTGTTTTAAAACTTACTCTATGCAATAAGGACCAACCATGGCCCTCGAACCCCACAAGATCAAGTGAGCTTGGCCTTTCAGGCTTTCAATAGGAGAATCCTGATAAGGCTGTTTGGAATTAGGGAAAGATCCTGCTCCTGGTGGCTGCTCTCTGGACTACTCAACCAAGACGCACCCTACACACACCACCCAGCCTAAAACTTGCCCTGCTAAGCAATCACTGCCTGGATCCTGTGCAACTGGGAGTCAGAGTCAATTGTCCTCCCCATCTGTACAAGGTGGGCCATACTCTAGCTAGTACCTTCAAAAGGCACACTGCCTTTCATTAAATCTAATTTCCTATTATCATTTAAATTAAAGATAACATGTACCTTCGTGGCAGGAGAGGTTACTGTTACTGTTTGCCTTGCTTTATGGAAACAGTATGTATTTGCTAATCTTGGCTGAGCATGCTACCTCAAATTGGTTAGGAAACCATGTTTTGGTGTACTTACTGTTAATGCTAACAGTATAAGAGTATCACAGCCAGGCAAAGATTAAAAGAACACAAAATGAATTGGTCTCAGTGCCAAGCATCCCTAAAGTTCTTCTCTTGAAAGCCTGGCCTCTGTAGTAGAGCAAAACACTGAGTGATGATTGGTTGAATCATAATGGATATCTTCATGAATGGATTAATTCACTGGTAAGTAACTATGGTATTTCTGTGAAAAGATTCTGGTTTATCATTTTTTCCCACTACATCTGGCAGTTGACCTCATGGCCGGTGGTGTCCCTGAATTTTGGTGCACGAAGCTACTTTATTCACAGCACTGCTTCCCAATTTTTCTGGGTAACTGGAGCTAAGAGTCTCACAGTCTCTTCTTCCTGGGCTGTACTTGTACACAGAACTCTGGATCTAAACCTCCTGGGTCACTAGGATTACAGGCCTCAGCCACTGGTACCCAGCAAAGGTAGACTTCTTAAAGGCCTCTATCTCCATTCTCTTCTGTGTCTCTCCATTTAGAACTGAAATGAGGTGAGCAGGTGGCCTCACCTCATCACCTGAGATACCCAATTTTCCACCATGTTCTTCTTAACCTAGATCACAAATAAGGCAGCCAGGTGGCAGTGGACAGAAACCTTGGACACCATGAGCCAAAGTGAATTGTCTCTTTTTGGGCTAGGAAGGTTTCTCAGTGGTAGAACGCTTGCCTTGCGTGGCTGAGGCCCTGGGTTCGATTCCTCAGCACCACATAAGCAAAAAGAAAAAAGCCGGAAGTGGTACTGCGGCTCAAGTGGTAGAGTGCTAGCCTTGAGCTGATGAGCTGAGGGACAGCGCCCAGGCCCAGAGTTCTGGCCCCACGCTGGAACCCCCCAAAAAAATTAAAAAAAAGATTTTACTTTTCATGTAATGGAACAGTGATCAACTATTATTCCTCATTAATAGTAGGATGCCAGCTCCTAAAGAAACACTCTAGGGGTTTGGCTTACTAAGATCAACATTCATATAAAATATGCCAAGTTAAAATATAAAAGACAGCTCTGGGAAGGTGGCTCAGTGGTAGAGTGCTTGCTTTGCATGCATGAAGCCCTGTATTCGATCCCTCAGCACCACATAAGCAAAAAGAAATAAGCAGGAAGTGGCGCTGTGGCTCAAGTGGTAGTGCACTAGGCTTGACCTGCAAAGCTGAGGTACAGCGCCCAGGCCCAGAATTCAGGCTCCACAACCGGGACCCCCCCTCAAAAAAAAATATATATATATATAAAAGAAACAATGTAATGAACATGAACAAGATAAACCTCAACTGATTAAGTACTTAAAAAGTCACCGGGCTTTGTATTTAGCTCTTTATAGCATGAGAATAACAGTGTTGTCTACCATCAATTTGAGATACTCTCTCAAACACAATGGAAGCTAAACAGGGCTCTGTGTGGCTCAAAATTGGTGGATCATCACCTATGAAGCCCAAGACCCTGAGAATCATACTAAACTTTTATAAAACAAAAATATTCTCCTTTCTAATCTTTGCATCTCAAACACACATTTCCAACAATGCATACACTAGCATTTCTTAAATAACTGATATTTTTCACAAGTGCAAAAGGACATAAAATATCCAAAAGTGAATTTCAGTGAAATCATAACTAGCCATGCTAAGATCTTCTACTCTTGGAAAATTTTAGCAGAAACAACTTCTTTAACTTAGCCAACTGAATATAAAACAAAAACCAGACTATAATCCGAACAGTTTACTAATCTAGAACAATTTCATTTTTCTTTGAGGTGATTTTTTTAAAATTGAGAATATAGTGTACAGAGGTGTTACAATTACATGGGCAAGATAATGAGTACATTTCTTATCAAGCATTGTAGCCTCCTCCTTTGTTTCCCCTTCCTGTCCCTTCATGTCCTCCCCCTGCCCCCACATGCATTCCTCTCCACCTGCTCACCCTCCTCCACTCACCAGTTGGTTTTGCCCCCTCACCCTCCTCCACTCACCAATTGGTTTTGGACATAACGACTTGTACATCTCATTGTTGCAACGGGTCCACCTGTATCCCTATTTAAACAATCTGTTTTTCCCCTTCCCCTCCACAAAATATACCAACATCAAATACAGTGAAAGCAGGGTTATACTGTTGGGGAGGGGCATACAAAGCAACAAAGAAATAATCTTATAAATGTGTTCCGCATGAAAGGAAAAAAAGCATTTGAATACATATCTTAGTGTTCATTTCCCTAACATCACCTTATCTGACCTTTTCTGCTTGAGTTTGAGGTGATTTTTTTTGTCCAAAATTTTCTGGCCTTTCACTCTGCAATGCCACAAGTTAAAATCAACACAACTGACTCCAGGGAGGCTGAGAAACATGAAGTATGTAAAGTGTTCTCTTATCTTTCTGTTGATTAAACAAATGTCACCAAATTAATGTTTTTGTACTTTTTAAATATCTTATGTTAAATTTTCATTTGAATATTATTATTAAAAATGAAATTCAAAGAAGACTTTGAAATACCGTTACACATACAAAAATTTATTCTACAGAGTATCTTACCAACAGACTAAACACCATGGGAATATGTAGAGGTAGTAAGAAGGTATAAGAGGCTTCAAAACTCAATCTGTATTTATGGTGGGATGTCAGCCTTGAAAATGAGTGTGAAGAAATTGTGTGTGTGTGTGTGTGTGTGTGTGTGTGTAACACTAGAAAATAAAAGCCTATTAGCTGATGTAGATTGGAGTATCATGAACCAGAAGATCCTTCAGAATGTGTTTCTTAAAATCAATTCTATTAGATGCCCCTTTTGGCAGTGTCCCTTTATATTTTAGGAGATGTAAAAAATTTCCTCTTTTCTAAAAAGCTTAATGCCTCAAGACTAGCAAAGTGAATTAATTTCATATTTCATTTATAGTCAAGTTAGTGACTTAACATGTAGTGAACTCTTAGACAAAACGGAAAGACTGGCTGATATTTGAAAGCCAAACTTCACATCTGAACTCTGTGGGTGTGTATGAGTGTGTGTGTGTGTGTGTGTGTGTGTGTGTGTGTGATGTGTGTGTGTGTGAAGATGTGTGTGTGTTGGGCTTATCGCCTGTCTGTCTCTCTGCCTGCCTGCCTAAACTCAGGCCCTAGGTGCTGCCTCTAAGCTTCTTTTGCTCAAGGCAAATCTGAGCCCCTCAACTTCTTCTATCGTAAGCTCTAATAAAAACCAGCCAACATTTGAACTCTTCAAGCATTGTTTTCTAATAAACAAAAAGAAAGCTTAATATGCCAACTCTAGGAATTACTTCTCATTCATTTATTAAATGGAGTTGTAATTCCTCCTCATGGTCCTTTCATTGCAAAATGGGAAGAATTTTTACCAGCTTCGCAAAACTGAAGGACCACGTATGAGTTAGTTTCCCAGAACAATTTAAGGCATGAATACAAGTTGTTACGGAAAACTTTCTACACAGTTCATTCATTTTACCTCTTTTCTCCAACTGAACTCTACTCTTTGTATATCAAGTTTACAGAAAGATCGCACACATTTCTAGACATTCAAGCTCTATATTGTCGAATAGTTTTCACCCCAGACATAAGATTTGAAGAATGCCCAAGAAAAACAGCTTAGTGGCCAAAAAGTGTCATCAGGTACCATTCACTTCTAAGAGTCTTATAAAGCCCGACTACATGAGGTCTCATTTGTAAAACACAATCTGAACACATAGAACAATAAGCAAAATTACTTGGAAATGTTGCTCTGCTGAAAAATAGAGAGGAGTACAAAGGAAATCTTACTCTCAGTAGTAGCATTCTTTTCCCACTGGACAAAATGAAAACTTGGGGCAAATACGGTCAATGTGTATTCAGCATCCCTAGCGTCCAAAAGGCTGAGGAAACTAAGACCAGGAAATGATTCCTTGTAAAGTTCAATTAAGACTTGACACTATTTATATCACCAAAATCGTCTCACCTCCAAGGAATGTGAAAATGTCTGCCCCAACCTGGTTGATTACTTTTTAGAGTGACTCATCTTGTTGAGATGAGGAAAGTTAGGTAAGTAAGCATGCACTAAAGCTTCAAAGACTAAAACTTCAGTACAGAGAAGGATTGGCTACTTTACTACAAAGCAACTATTGGTTGATGCTTTTTCATCTTTTTTCTTTTTGCTCATCTGTTAAAGAAAGGGAGTAAGATCCGGAATGCTCTATTGAATAAAGCCTACAGAGAACTCAGCTGTATTTGTACATCAACAGCTGCCTATGACCAAGGATGACTGCCTTTAAGAAAGTCTCTTGCTTCACAGCACACGTTTATAAAGATCCGTGGACACACTGTGAGGACAAGCTCTCATCTGTATGGTGTCGCCGTATGTGCTGGTTCTTTTCAGAGGGTCTTCGAAATCCTTTCTTGCAGTACTCACAGCGGTGAGGGTAGTCTTTTGTATGAATGGAGATAACATGCCGTTTAAAGCCTGAGGCATCTGTGGTGCTGTACTCACAGTGCTCACACTGAAACACTTTCCGACCACTGTGTGTGTTCATGTGCTTTTCAAGCTCATCCTGTTGTTGAAATCCCTTTCGGCACCTCTTACATCTAAAGGGAGGATCCTTGGCATGAACTGACAGAATGTGGCTACTTAGCAGAAATGGATCTGAAATCTTGAAGTCACAATGTCTACACTGATGCATTTTTTCATCCATGTGGACAGCGGCATGTTTCTTGAGTTCGGAAGGCCTGTGAAAACCTTTACCACACATGTCACACTTATGGGGATACTCCTTGGTGTGAACTGAAATTATATGTCTCTTCAAATCACCTGAGCTTGAGCTCCTGTGGTCACAATACCAACACTGGTGTCTTTTGCTTCCTGGGTTGATAAAGCCATGTTGCCTTGCTTCTCTGGTATCTGGGGAAGTCAGAAGATAAATGTCATCCTTAAATGGCTTCTCTTTGCCGGGCTTAGACTTTGGAGGTGTTTTCAAGTTAGAAGAGTCAGCAGACCCATATTCCCAGAACAAGTGCTGATAGCCCTCCCTCCACACCATCTCCCTACCGCCCCCCCACACCACCCACAACCCTGCCAATGGATTCTCATGTGGATGCTGTGCTCTGTTAGTGGATAAACATTTTCTGCACCCTACACAATTGTGGGGAGAGTTCTTGCTAAAAGGTGATGACTCAATATCCCTTGTTAAACAGCTGTCTCGCATTCACAGAATTTATACCTAAGTACCTTTTGGTACTTTACACATCACTTTATGAGAAAACAAAAGTCTGAGAATGAGAAAATCTCATCCTACACTCCTACACATGAAACACAGCTTCACTTGACAATTTGGTTCATTGTCTATTGGAGATAATGGTCTCATGTATTTTCCTGCCCAGGCTGGGTTATCTTGACAATAATGAGTGAAATTTGTGTGCATGTGGCTCATGCTAGTAATCCCAGCTACTCATGAGACTGAGGATCTGAGGATTGAGGGTCTAATCCAGACAGGGCAGAGAAGTTCCTAAGACTGTTATGTCCAATTATACCCATGTGAGAGCTGTAAGGGATGTGCTGGCTCACTTTATTTAGTGCTAGACCTAAATGAGAAAAAAATGCAAGGGGGAAAAGAAAGGAGAGCTAGCACCCTAGCTATGTACCTTAGCTCAGTGGTTGATGACCTAGAATAAAACAAACAAACAAGAAAAATCCTGTGAGTTGAAACTCACAGGACCCCAAAAACAAATGACCAGACACATAAGGGGGTTTAGGAATTTTGTTTCATCTCCACTAAAATCAGCTTACACTTTTGATTCCTTTCCTTCATTCTGAACCACAATCAGATTTTTCCAAGGAAAATGTCTCATGACTCTCCCTGAATTCTAGAAACTCTATTTTCAAAAACAAAAGCCACTTGTGGCCCATCAATTTCTTCTAAAACCTCACCAATGTGTGGAGTAAAAACTACCCTTCCCTCACCCATTTGCTGTTGCTGGGAATCATCTCTCTTCCTTTTCCCTGGGTTTTGTTTAGCGAGTCGATCTTGGCCACCACACTCATCTACAGGCAAGAGGGTACCTGCTCCAGGAATCTGGTTTTCAGATCCATCAGAGACATCACCTAGTAAGTGAGTATTAAAAACATTTTTACAAAGTGTTATGAGGCATAAAACTGTAGAAACTCTTAGCCACAACCACGAAGACAAAGTGCTGACACTCATGAGTTACAGATACTCCTTATTTCAGTCACTGTGTCTTTTTAAAATTCTTATTTTATTGTTAAGGTGTGCAGTCGCAACAGGGGATATGCCATAGGGGAAAGAACATACAAAGAAACAACAACAATAACAACAAGTAATAAAATCACATAGTACTTTTAAAACAGTAACAATCAAGACAGACCTCTTGTATCCATATCTTGGGGTTCCTTTCACTTGGCATCAACTTATATGGTCATTTGTACATGGTGTTTGAGCTTTTCAGCTCATCTGATAAGATTATCCTATATGGATACTAATTATTGCAAAGAAGGGAAACCATGAATCCTAAATGTCTTTAGGACTGGGCAACTTCACTTAATATGATCTTTCCCAAGCCTTTCCATTTCCTAACAAAAGGGACAGTAATGTTCTTCCTGATGGAAGCACAGAAATCCATTGTATATATGTATAATATCTTTTTGATCTACTCTTCTAATGAGGGGCATCTGGGTTGATTCCATATCTTAGCTGTGGTAAATAATGCTGTGATAAACATAGCTTTAGTATGGCCTTGTTTGTGATCCTTTGGGTAAAAGCCCAGAAGTCATATGGGTCATATGGGAGCTCTATGTGTCATGTTTTGAGGAACCTCCATACCGCTTATGCACTGTCTTATGGGCACATTCATATCAAGACCAGGAAATGCCTTGCTCCTAAAGGGGCCAAGTCATAAGCCATGTACAAGCAAAATTACAAGCTAACACATTGAAAGTCTGCCTCTTTCTAACATACCAAAAAACTCAGGGCAAAATCCATAGGAGAAAAAGAAAACCCATCTGAGAGTTCCTCACCTCTTCTTAAACCACCACAAATTCATTTCCCAATGCTACACTCTAAATAGCACGGATTCCAGTGTTTTCAATAATGTGAAACTGAATTCTTCAAGTGCTATGTGACTTACTGTAAGCTGCTGTCCATGTGACTGGCATCAGGGCTTTCACTTCATTGTCACCCACTTGCTGTTCATGTATAGCAGAAGATGCTACAGCTGCAGCATCTTCCTCTCCTGCAATCACATCTATATATCCTTCATCGGTAATTTCAGCAAAACCTAAGTACAAAATTAAGTAAATGCACAAAAATATTGCTGAGATGAATTATTAATTTCATACAGAATCTTGCTAGCCCAGGCTGGCTGAGATCCTCCTGACTCAGCTTCCCAACGTGATGGGAATGAAGGTGTACACCATCAACCCCTTCCATAAATTTTCAAGGCACCAATGTACCTGGGCTAAGGTGGGCTCATATGTGTAACCCTAACAGCTCAGGAGGCTGAGATGTGAAGATCTGAGGTTCAAAGCCAGACTACGAAAAAAAGTGTGTGTCACTCTTGTCTACAGTTAAACACCAAAACCTCAAGCTGAAAGAGACACTGTTGTTCAAGTGATAGACCACCAGTCCGGAAAACACAAATGTAAAACACAGAATTCTACCACTGAATGTAAACCTCAAAGAAAAGAAAGGGAAACACAGAAAGAAAATGAAACAGAGAGAAGGAAAAATGCAACAAAGGATGAAGGGACGGAGAGAAGAAAGAAGAAAGGAAGGGAAGCACAGGGGAAAGAAGGAATGCAGCAAGGAAACAAAGAATGAAAACACGAAGGAAGAAAGGAAGTAATAAAGGCTGAGAAGGAAAGAATAAAGGCTAAAAGAGGACAGAAAGAAAGAGTTCATGAAAGAAAGCAAGAAGGAAAGAATCAACAATCTAAGGATTTCTTGCTGATTTAAAAGACAAGGATGCCTTCTTTGAGCAAAGAGACCATAATAATTACTAAAACAGTGTTCCTTACTTCATTCAAATACTGCTTGCATTCGTTACCATGTGTAGGCTGGGCAGAGCATCTTATGTGTCTAATCCAGCCACTAAAGAAGAGAAGAGCCGCTTGGAAAAAACCCGGAGAGAGCATCTCAACAGACATCCTGCGTGTGTGCCCCAGGTACTTACTCAGTAGACTATTTTTAGGAGTAATACAATCTGAGACAACAGCAATCTGGATGTGTGATTCTAGCTACGCAACAGTCTACAGTTAGCAGCAATATAAGCTGAGGCTGTCCTTGGACAAAAATGTTAGTTCTGCCTGAAATATAATAATAAAATGGAGGTATGGACACGTTCAGTTAGCGGAGGACCTTCATAGTAAACTTATTGTCCCAAATACAAAATCCCGAGTAGCACTTTACTCCCACAACTTACGGACATGTTTCCCACCACATGCCTTCTGCTGACTTAAGACTTCTTTTTCCTGGAGTCACTGACAGGCATACATGTTTCTATTCCCTGGAAATAAAAATTCTTTTGCTCTGACACACTAGTCCCACTCCAAAATTACTCTCAGGTGGCACTTTCCACCATGTCTGCATGGGCACCGGTCAGGAAACAAGACAAGAATTCATTTGAACCTTCATTTCAACACAGTCCTCTATAATACTTTTACCATACATTTCAAGTACCTCTTAAAAGATGTCTCCAAAGAAGATGTCAATTATTCTGGTATACGAAAGCTAAGGTTCAACCATTTAAGGAATCAAGATGAGTAATTTGGGACAGCATATACAACATGCTGAAGGTTTCCTTTTTACCTAAGTCATCCATTCCACCGTCAGATTTTAATGTGGACATCTTCATGACTTCAGGGCAAGTGTCATCTACTTTACAAGAACTGACTTCTGGTTCCATGTCCATGTTCAGTCTAATGGGACCACCATGATCCAGTTTGCACGCATCATCCACTACAGAGGTGGGAAATGTATCAGAATCAACCAGCTTATATACATGAAGTAGTGCTATTTTCTTAGTTTTTTTGTCCAATACAATCTCTTATCTGATTCACAGAAAACAAAATAATTTAATAGATGTTTGAGAAAAAACTGTCCCAGCAGACCACATAAGTCAAATTTCTGGTATTGCTAAATTAGGCTACAGTAAACAAAAAACAAGACATATACTTTCTTTTGATTACCAAAAGGTGCCCAGGCTGACTTTGTACCCTGGTCCTCCAATCTGAACTTTCTCAGTAGCTAGTATTATAGGCCTGATCCAAAGATTCCCTGCTGAGTATCTCCAATTCTTAATCCTACTTTTAAATAACTGCTTGTAAACAGGTGAGCTAGGTTGTGGAATCTTGGAACTATTTTACAATCTTCTAATTAAAATTGGTTCATTATTTGTAGCAATTGCAAAGCCAACATTATAAGCAAAACAGCAGTGAAAGTTAATCCTCTTGACTCTCTTTCCTTATGAAGAACCAAAACTGATAGGTAAGAATATACTAAAACCATCCTTCCTACAAACATGGGCTGTAAAATGTAGCAATCAGACATGCAATAATTCCAAAGTCTTAGGCCCTACAACCAGTGATTTTAGATGTTGTTGTTGTTTTTAGCAAATTTTTTATTGTGACTAAGTGACTATATAAATTCCACAGTATTGTGAGATAGTGATACTTTGTTAAAGTCACAACCACATTCTAACTTTCATCGGGCAAATTGTCTTTATCATGGTCTATAGAGTTTATGAGTTCTATGAGCTTTGACAATATAGTTTTATCTTCCACATCAGGTGATGTGTACATTTCTTTCCTTGTGCTTAGTGTCAGCAGTTCCCACTTTCCTGCTCATTCCCTTCCCTCCCATTGCTGACATTGAGTTGCTTAGTTTGTTTTGATCAATGACTTGTGAAGCTTATGGGTCCTTCTGATGGATTTTTTTTACTTTTCCCTCTTTTTCTGTGTTCTCCATCTAGTATCCCTCAGATGTGCACATATTGTACCACATAGGTGCAAAACCTCT